TACAATTTGTTTTGCTCTGTGGCAGCTAGCTGCTGATCTGTCGACCTTATGTTATTGATAATGTTGAGAATGATTTTCATTTTGTTTTTGTTTTATTTCGATTTTTTTTTGTTCGTTTCGTTTTGAATTTCAAATAAAGCTCAGTAGTATTTAATATAAGTTCTTTTAATGAAATATTTTGAAAATATTATTTCATTTTTTGTTTTTGTTATTTCATTTTGAATTATTTTTGGAAATAATTTGTTTGAAAATTTCCTTTAGTTATTTTAAAATTAGAATTGTGGTGTGTAGTTCAGATAATCTGCGTGGCTGATATTCAAAATTGCGTTTTGAAAACTTGATATTAAAATAATCAGCTGTTTATAGATCAGCATCGGATACTGGCTGATCAGTGATCTCCCTGTGACATTACATATCCACACGCACACACACATACACAAATAACAATTCAATGGTATGTGTGTTTGTTGCCTCCCATTTCGTCTATTGTGAGTGTGTTAGTGTGTAAACTTTGGATTATTTTTTATTTATTTATTGAAATGTTTTGATTAACACTTACCGCGATGTGTACTCGGTGTATGTGAGAGTGACTCGGTGTGTGTGTGTGTGAGAGTGTGTCTGTCGCTTTTGTTTGTGTATCGTAAGTGTTAAAATTGTTTAATTTATTGCAAATAAAAAAAAAAATAATTATTATATATTATGAACAATAATCGATACAAAAAAGAGTGTTCATTTTGTGGGTGACATATTTTGAATATTATTTATACGATCCAAGTCTTGGGTAGGGTCTAGAAAAATAGTTGTAAAATTCATGCCTTGTCTAGAACCTAGTCAAATATTTAGAAAATAGAAAAATATTTAGAAAATCCATGCCTTGTCTAGAAAAAAATATTTATAAAATCCTCACCTTGTCAAGGACCTAGAAAAAAATATTTATTTATATATTTATAAAATCCACAGCTAGTGTAGGGTCTAGAAAAAAATATATTTATAAAATCCTCGCCTTGTCCACAACTTCTATGTACGTTGTACATTTTTCCAGTCGTATGTCTGAACTGCTTCCATTGTGTACACAGTCGTAGTTATGAAAAATTATCGATATACTTCGCTGAGGAATATGATTGGGTCTGAAATGCATAAGTTTTGTTTTGCTAGCATTTATTACCAACCCATTATCGTGACACCATTTTGTAACTATATTCATCTCACTTTGAATTCTAGTTTCTGCACTGCGGAGACATTTGTCAGATACTATTATAGTTGTGTCATCAGCGTATGAGAACGTAATAATGTGTAGGGCCTAGAAAACAATTTTTATAAAATCCACGCCTTGTCTAGGATCTAAAAAAAAATTATTTATAAAGTTCACGCCTTGTCTAGGATATAAAAAATTATTTATAAAGTCTACGCCTTGTCTAGGATCTAAAAAAAAAAATATTTATAAAGCCCACGCCTTGTCTAGGATCTAAAAAAAATTATTTATAAAGTCCACGCCTTGTCTAGGATCTAAAAAAAATTATTTATAAAGTCCACGCCTTGTGTAGGATCTAGAAACAAATATTTATAAAATCCACGCTTTGCCTAGGATCTATAAATTTTTTTTATAAATAATAGGGTTTAGAAAAATATATTTAGAAAAGCCCACCCTTGTCTAGGGTATAGAAAAAAATATTTGTGTCATACACGGCCTGTGTAGGGTCTGGGAAAAATATTTATAAAATCCATGCCTAGGATCTAACAGAAAATCCATGTCTTGTCTAAGGTATGGGGTCTTATCTAGGTTCTAGAAAAACATTATTTAAAAAATGCATGCTTTGTCTAGGGTATGGGGTCTTGCCTAGGTTCTAGAAAAAAATTTAAACCAGTGAGCGGAGCACTATAGTCGGTCGGGGCCGACCATATTATACCCTACACAACTTACACAAAAAATCTAACTTTCTGTGGTAATACATTCTGAACTTGGGCAATATTTCGCGATATTTGCACCCTCTTGACCGACTAGAGGTGAACAAATACTACTAATACTTAGTACAGCCCTTCTAATTACTTGTCCAGATTCCCTTCACCGTGGGTCCACTTCATCCCAAAAGTATTATCTGATCATCACCGAAAATTATAGGCGTATCCTTGACCATACCTGGAAAATTTCAAAGCGATCAGCGCTATATTTCCGCCCTCTAGTGTGGTAATGGGTTACTAAATAATATATGAATACGTAAGCATCTGTAAATATTTGAGTGTAACGAGTACATACGATAATATAATTGGTGTCAATTTAAAGGTCAACCATTCCTCTTGTATATATTATCAACTTCTCCACGCGTAAAAATATACGCCATAGAATACAAATATTGTAATTTTTCACACAAAAGTCAGGGTCCAATTGACCCGCTAAATACTGACCGATCTTTATCAAAACAGGCAGGCTTATTCTTTGGCCCGATCCCCTTCTCCATGTAAAAAATCGCGATATTTGCGCCATAATTGCGGAAAAACCGACAAAAATTAAGTATTTGGTCCATTTCACCTCCTAAATATCAAACGATATTTTCCAAAAACAATAGGGGTCTTCATTGGCCAGAACCCATCCTACATGCAAAATTTCGTGCCGATTGGTCCATAACTGTGGCTTGTATCGTGTTTACAAATTATAATGGACGGACGGACACCCTTGTCTAGATCGACTCAGCTAGTCGAGATGTCGGTATACTTGAAGGTGGGTCTAGGACCAATATTTCGCGACGTTACAAACTTTTGGGGCTGCACAAAGCTATAATACCCTGACAACATAGTTGTGTAGGGTATAAAAATTTTCTGGGATCTAAAAAATATATTTATAAAATCCACGCCTTGTCTAGGATCTAAAAAAATATTTATTTATAAAATCCACGTTTTGTGTGGCGTCTAGAAAATAGTATGCCTTGTCTAGGGTCTAGAAAACTATTTATAAAATCCACGCCTTGTCTAGGATCTAAAAAATATTTATATAAACCACTTCTTGTGTAGGGGCTAGAAAAAAATATTTATAAATCTACACCTTGCCTAATTAAGAAACAAAAAATGTATAAAAAATAAAACTTATAGCTCTGGTAGCGTATACGTACCGACAACAATTATACGCACCAATGTCCCAAATCACAGAATGGTTTTTGTCACTTTATTATAGTTTTATGTCCATATCAAATATTTATAAAGTCCATGCCTTCTCCAGGGTTTAGAAAAAAATATTTGTATTATCCACACCTTCTCTAGGGTCTAGAAAAAATATTTGTGTCATCCACGCCTTCTCTAGGGTCTAGGAAAAAATATTTGTATTATCCACGCCTTGTGCAGGGTCTAGAAAAAAAATTATTTATAAAGGCCAAGCCTCGTGTAGGGTCCAGAAAAAATAATTTATAAAATCCACGCCTTGTGTAGGGTCTATAAAAAAATATTTGTATTATCCACGCCTTGTTTAGGATCTAACAAAAATTATTTATAAAATCCACTCCTTGTGTAGGGTCTAGAAAAAACTTATTTTTAAAATCCACGCCTTGTGTAGGGCCTAGAAAAAAATATTTATAAAATCCACTCCTTGTGTAGCGTCTAGAAACAATATTTAAAACATTCCCACCTTGTCTAGGATCTAGAACTTTTTTTAATCCACGCCTTGTGTAGGGTCTAGAAATAATATTTATAACATCCACACCTTGTGCTGGGTCTAGAAAAAATATTTAGAAAATCCATGCCTTGTCTAGGGCCTAGAATTTAGAAAATTCCTGTCTAGAGTGTAGGAAAAATTATTATAAAATCCAGGTCTTGTGTAGGGCCTAGAAAAAAATATTTATACAATTCGTGACTTGTTTAGAAAAAATATTTATAAAATCCAGCCTTGTGTAGAGTCTAGAAAAAAATATTTGTATCATCCACGCGTTAGGTAGGGCTTAGAAAAATATGTAAAATTCCACTACTTGTGCAGGGTACAAAAAAAATATAAAATCCAAGACTTGTCTAGGGTCTTAAAAATCCACGTTGGTTGTTAGAAAAATATTTAAAAAATTTTAGGAAAAATGTTTAACTCTAGATTGCCGAAGGCGGTCATTTTGACCGCTTTTCAATTTCAAGTACGAAAACAACTGTGCATATAAGTACACTTTTTTAAAAAAATTTGTGACTTTTTGTACCACATAGAATTACGTTTATTATAAAAAAGACAACAAATTTAAAAAAAGTGTCATTATATGCACAGTTGTTCTTGTACTTGAAATTGAAAAGCGGTCAAAATGACCGACTTCGGCAATATAGTGTTAAAAAATAATCACTTATAGCTCTGGTGGCGTATACGTACCGACAACAATTATACGGTCCAAATGACATTTTCTTACCATTTTTATGGCTTTGCTCAAACGAGCTTCAATATTCTGTGATAGATAATAAGGTAAACAAAATTACTCACCAAACTACGTCATTACTAATTTGAAAAGACGTCGTGAAGTTCGGCTGGTTTGAACTTTGTATAGCCATTCACAGCCCTAATAAATACTTATATAGGGCTTAAAAATAATCTAAAAAACTTATGAAGAAAATCCATGCTTGTCTAAGGCTAAAAAAATATTTTTATTAAATCCACGCCTCGTTGTTGCTTGAAATTTTTGATTTAAAAAAGCCTCGCATTGTTGGCTGAATGACTAAAAAATATAAAAAAAAACTTCATGCCTTTTTTACCCTTATAGCTCTGGTGGCGTATACGTAGCGACAACAATTATACGCACCAATGTACCAAATGACATTTTCATACGGTTTTTATGTCTTTCTTAAACCGAGATTCACTTCACTTATAGCTCTTGTTACGTATTCGACAGACACTTTTTTACGTGTTTGTTGTGATTTATTAAAATTTTAAAATATAGGCATGCTTTCGTGTCACTTTTGACCGGTTTGATTTTTTTTTATTTTTAAATCTTCGTAAAAAAATAAAAAAAAACATAATTTGTTAAAATATTTTTTTTGTATTTTTTTAGCACACCCAACAACATATTAATCGCAATTTAATGAGCGGATTTCTTCATCAACATTTTGGCGCTGAATATGAACCGGTTATAACATTTGTGGATTCACCACCAAATTCTGAAGAATCTTGGCCGGGTAAGTTTTGAATTAAATATATATATATACACACATATGTTATACAAATAAATATATAATTTAATTTAAAAATATAACACCAAATTGATTATCAATTTTGTAATTGGATGAAAAAACAAAAACAATTTGCCATTTTCTAACTCGTGTAAGTTATTTCACAAAATTAGCAACTCTAAAATAAATAAATTTATTTAGCACAATTATTTATTTCGTATTATTTTTATTTGGCGGCTATTACAAAGCGATATGCTCGATTAAAAAAATGTTGTATAGCTTAAGCTCTATATAAATGTAAATTAATATTCATTATCACATTTTTTCGATATTTCCTGAACATGCGGCAAAGAAGAATTACCAAAGATATTTGGCAAATTCAGTACCAAATTATGTTGCCGATGAGGTTTTGATGCTGACACAATAAATCGGTTATATCTTCAAGAATTGTTGAGATTTTTGTTAGAAATTTTAGAGGGACATTCTTCAGATGTTATAGCTTCAAATTAAATAAAAATAACAACATTGAGTTTTTGAAACCGGGAATGGGTAGTGGTTCCTCTTAAGAAAAATATCTCAAAATTTGATTCCTTTTTTTAATTAATTTCATCAATAAAAACCAGTAAGGAAAGTAGTAAAGTCGGACTGGGCCGACTATATGATACCCTTCACCACTTTGGGTATATTGTACATATGTATCCTAACAATTGCATGTCTATGTTCCCTCTTTCTCCAACCTATCCTAACTTTAATTTCATACGAGCAGATTTAGAGCCGCCTGCGTAACATGGGGAAAATTTATGGAAAACGATTTATAGCAAAATTGATGCACGCTATTCGGTACGCGCGTTGTTAAGAATATAATCTATATGTGGGAGCTATATCTAAATCTGAACCGATTTTCACGAAAATTAACACACATCTCTCTAGACTTAATTCAGTACGCTATGTCAAATTTTGTGCAAATCGAAAGCTATATATATAGGAACCTTGGAGCACCATTTACATAAAATCGGACGAACATATATATGGGAACATATATATATGTCGAAATCTAAACCGATTTTCCCGAAACTCACCACTCATCATTCTAGACTCAATTCAGTACGCTATGCCAAATTTCGTGCAAATCGAAGGATATAAAGGGACTTTGGTGCACTATTTACGTAAAACTGGACAAAAATATATATGAGAGCTATATCTAAATCTCAACCGATTTTCACGAAATTTAACACACATCGTTCTAGACTTAATTCAGCACGTTATGCGAAATTTCGTGCAAATCGAACGATACAAAGGGACTTTGGTGCACTATTTACTGAAAATCGGACGAAAATATATATGGGAGCTATATCTAAATCTGAACCGATTTTCACAAAATTTAACACACATCGTTCTAGACTTACTTCAGTACGCTATGCCAAATTTCGTGCAAATCGAAGTATATATAGAGCCTTTGGTACACAATTTACCTTAAATCGGACGAAAATATATATGGGAGCTATATCCAAATCTGAACCGATTTTCACGAAACTTTGCACACATCATTCTAGACCTAATTCATTACGCTGTGCCAAATTTCGTGAAAATCGAAAGATATATAGGGACTTTGGTACACAATGTACCTCAAATCGGACGAAAATATATATGGGAGCTATATCCAAATCTGAACCGATTTTCAGGAAACTTGGCACACATCGTTCTAGACTTAATTCAGTACACTATGCCACTTTTCGTGCAAATCGAAGTATATATAGAGACTTTGGTACACCATTTACCTTAAATTGGACGAAAATATATATGGGAGCTATATCTAAATCTGAACCGATGTTCACCAAATTTTACACACATCGTTCTAGACTTAATTCAGTACGCTTTGCCAAATTTCGTGCAAATCGAAGTCTATATAGAGACTTTGGTACACCATTTACCTTAAATCGGACGAAAATATATATGGGAGCTACATCCAAATCTGAACCGATTTTCACGAAACTTTGCACATATCATTCTAGACCTAATTCATTACGCTGTGCCAAATTTCGTGCAAATCGAAAGTTATATAGGGACTTTGGTACACAATGTACCTCAAATCGGACGAAAATATATATGGGAGCTATATCCAAATCTGAACCGATTTTCAGGAAACTTGGCACACATCGTTCTAGACTTAATTCAGTACGCTATGCCAAATTTCGTGCAAATCGAAGTATATATAGAGACTTTGGTACACCATTTACTTTAAATCGGACGAAAATATATATGGGAGCTATATCCAAATCTGAACCGATTTTCACGAAACTTTGCACACATCATTCTAGACCTAATTCATTACGCTGTGCCAAATTTCGTGAAAATCGAAGTATATATAGAGACTTTGGTACACCATTTACCTTAAATTGGACGAAAATATATATGGGAGATATATCCAAATCTGAACCGATTTTCACAACTTTGCACACATCATTCTAGACCTAATTCATTACGCTGTGCCAAATTTCGTGAAAATCGAAGTATATATAGAGACTTTGGTACACAATTTACCTTAAATCGGACGAAAATATGTATGGGAGCTATATCCAAATCTGAACCGATTTTCACGAAACTTTGCACACATCATTCTAGACCTAATTCATTACGCTGTGCCAAATTTCGTGCGAATCGAAAGATATATAGGGACCCTTTACATTAAATCGGACGAAAATATATATGGGAGCTATATCTAAATCTGAACCGATTTTTCCCAATTTCAATAGGGTTCGTCCCTGGGCCGAATAAGTGAACTATGCCAAATTTCATCCAATTCGGATTATAAATGCGACCTGTACTTTGTTTACAATTTAACATCGACAGACGGACGGACATGCATAAATCGACTCAGAAAGTGATTCTATGCATATTCTCAAAAGGAACCATGTGTCTGTCTCGTTCCCTTTTGCCTGTTATAAAACATATGCACAAAGACATAATACCCTGTACCACAGAGTGGTGAAGGGTATAATTATTAGTTGAGGTCCTTGAGTCATTTTCTATGATAATCATGGATGATTCGTGACGTCATTCAGACGGCAAATATATGCAGCTCAACCAAATCGGCTGTAATTTGGATTCTCTTAGAGTAGAAAATATCTCTACCATAAATTATCAAAATTGGCCCAAGTTTCCGGATAGCTCCCACATAATGGTAATCACCATTATTCGATATTTGGGCACATTTTTTAATCGAATTGGCTTTAATTAATTTTAAATAAAAACCAGTGGTCGGACGTGGCCGACCATACGATACCCTACACAACTACCACGAAAAGCAAACATTCTGCGGTTCTATATTCTGAGCCGGGACAATATTTCGTGATATTTGCACCCTTTTTACCGATCAACAATTCCACTTCCTAACCCTGGCATATTTTCCAATTTTTTTCTTGAAGTAAATTTTTATGTAATGGAATAAAAAAATTGGTCACTTTAGGTTTTGGTTGATTCGACCCTTGGAATATTGACGGATAATCCAGTCGCTCTAAGTATTTGGTCAGATCCTCTACACCTTGTAAAATATTTGATGTTCTGCATATAATAATTGCCCCTAGAGCGACTAGAAAATCTGAAAAAAATATAGTTTTCGGTTCATTGTACCCCCATGAATAAAATCTCAACTTCAACGAAAACTATAGGCGTCGTCCTTGACCATAATCGGAACTTCATGTACAATTTCAAAGCGATCAGCGCGACATTTTCGTCCTCTAATGGAGTAATAGTAATACTATGCACATAATCACCTTTACCTAATTACGTATAACTCCCACATCAGAGTACATACATCCATATAATGGTATTAATTTGTAGGTCAACAACTCCTCTTGGATATACTATCAACTTCTAGGGTATATGTCCTTCAGGAGCAAATATATACGCCCCAGAATAAACATTTTGTAATTTTTCACACAAAAGTCAGGGTCCATTTGACCCGCTAAATATTCGCCGATCTTTATCAAAACAGGCATGCTTATTCTTTGGCCCGATTCCCTTCTCCATGTAAAATTTCGCGATGTTCGTACCATAATTGCGGCCTCTGGAGTGACCAGAAAAACCGACAAAAATTAAGTATTTGGTCAATTTCATCCTCTAAATATAAATCGATCTTTTCCAAAAACAATAGGGATCTTCATTGACCAGAACCCATTCTACATGCAAAATTTCGTGAAGATTGGTCCATAACTGTAGCCTGTATCGTGTTTACAAATTATAATGGACAGACGGACGGACGGACACGCATGTCTAGATCGACTCAGCTAGTCGAGATATGACGATCGGTATACTTAAAGGTGGGCCTATGACCAATATTTCGCGGCGTTACAAACTCTTGGGGCTGCACAAATATATAATACCCTGACAACATAGTTGTGTAGGGTATAATAAAAAATCGATTTTCTGAAACCGAGAATGGGGGGTTCAAGAAAAAAATCTGAAATTTTGATTTCCTTTTCCAATAAAAACCGATTATTTGAGGCTCCTTGAGTCTTTTTCCAATATTTTGGGGACTTTGGCTACGTGTTTCAACCAAATTGGTTGTATTTGTCTTCCTACCAAAAATGGCCCCTGCTTCCGGGTAGCTCCCACATAATAGTAATCCTCCATTATTCGATATTTTAAGTATTTTAGGCAGACTTTTCAATCGAATTAACTCTTATGGATTTAACAGGTTCACATGGGATTACAAATCTTACTATCAAAAAAATTATCAATATTGATTTCGGTATAGCTCCGATATACGATGCCGATCCATTTTCGGTATTTTGAAGGCTTTAGCAGCATTTTTCAACCTCTCATTGAGGTTGAGTAGAATATCTACCAACCAAAAATTAACAATATTGGGCCAAATTTCCGGATAGCTTTTACATAATGGAAACCTCCATTATTCGGTATTTTGGGTACATTTTTCAACCGAATTGGCTCTAATTTGATTTATCAAATTCTCGTTGTCCTACATTGTCCTAGGTCCTATGCCTTAACTGAGCTTCAGGTGGTAACTGAGGTTCTGAGATTTTCTTCTACGCCAAAAATTGCCTCAGGGGTAACTGAGGCTTCGGGATTTTTTTCTGTATGACAAAAAATGCCTCCGAGCCTCAGGGAGATTTCTTTCTATACGAAAAATATACAACAGAAGATCTGAATTTTATTTTCTATAGAAAAACTGCCTCAGTGGTAACTGTGGCTCCGAGATTTTACTTACTTATCTGGCTTGTGGCAAAACGTTTGTTCCATACCGAGCTTAAAAAAACATTTCCAGACCCTTCGGTCTTGTGCGCAGCTCATCCAATTTGAAAGACCATATTCCGAGATGTTGTCTTCTACTTTATCCCGATTTTTTTTCTATACAAAATTTCGAAAATAATTAATTTTTAAATGTCTTATTATTTTTTCCCCGCAGACGATCAATCGAAGGGCTCACCAGGACCACAAATAATTGACGTCCAAACTATCTATTCTCAAAGTGGTTCACGTAAAAGGCGAATGGATTGGGATCCATTGGATTTGGGACAGAGTGAAAGCAATGCTTCTCCACCAACTGTTGAAATACCAAATAAATTAGCGGGACATCCATTGGCCGCCGATGCTAAGGATAAAGGCTATAAGAGGGAGAAATTGAGTAATGGTAAGTGGTACAAAAAAAGAATACAATTTTGAAATTCTAAGGGAATTAGAAAAAATAAATGAAATAAAAAAAAAGATATTGAATTTCTCTATAATTCCTGAACGAAAGATTTCTCATAGAACGCCTTATTCAGCCAAATGATTTTTTTCTCTATAAAGTTTTTAAAAAAATTGCAAAACATTATTTTTCCTGAAAACAAAAAAAAAATCCCTTTGCTTATTCAGCCCAGCTGAATTAGGTTTTTTTTTTTTGAGATTATTATACAATTGTTAGCACCCACGTTTGATTTGAAATAATTCACACATTCCAGCGGCGAAAAAAAAACAACATTTCTACATATCAAAGCATTTAACTAACATTTAATAGCGATAAAAACTCTCCGCACATTTGTTGTTAGATTCAAATAAAAATTAGCCATTATCTGTGGCAAAACTTTTTCCTCAAACCACCGCAAAACATGTGGTGTGTGGTTGAGCGCCAGAATATGGCATTAAACCTTGGTCTACATACATCGAGATCATGGTGCGAATTGTTTGTTCATATTATTGATGTTTGTTTTATTGTTTTATTGCTGCTGCTGTTGTTGTTGTTGTTGTAGTGTTTATTTCAATTCAAGTATTATTGTCATATGTTGTTGTTGCTGACGTTTTTTCATTCTGCCTGATTTGATTTTCTTCCCCATTTTGATAATCTAAAATGTCTTGGCTTTTGGGGGTTTGTTATTCGCCTTTTTTAGGTGGTTATCTCGTTGAGAGTCACACAGGCACACACACGCTCACACACACATCAATGTAGACACCCTCTCAGACGGTAAACAATAGAGAAAACAAGTTAACGATAAGACATTTATTTATATGTTTGTTTGTATGTTTGTCAGTTTGTTTTTTTATTTTGTTTGGTACATAATTATTATTATTTAAATTCAAATAACAATAGAAATTGTTATTGTATTTCTTTTTTGTATTATATAATATGTTTTTTATATAAGAATCCCCCAATTCAGACATAGAAAACCCTATTCAGCCAGGCTGAATAAGTGTTTTCCTATAGAAAACCCTATTCAGCTAGGCTGAATAAGTGTTCTCCTATAGAAAACCCTATTCAGCCAGGCTGAATAAGTGTTTTCCTATAGAAAACCCTATTCAGCCAGGCTGAATAAGTGTTTTTCATATAGAAAACTCTATTCAGCCAGGCTGAATAAGTGATTTCCTATAGAAAACCCTATTCAGCCAGGCTGAATAAGTGTTTTCCTATAGAAAACCCTATTCAGCCTGGCTGAATAAACCCTATTCAGTCAGGCTGAATAAGTGTTTTCCTATAGAAAACCCTATTCAGCCAGACTGAATAAGTGTTTTTTTATAGAAAACCCTATTCAGCCAAGCTGAATAAGTGTTTTCCAATAGAAAACCCTATTCAGCCAGGCTGAATAAGTGTTTTCATATAGAAAATCCCTATTCAGCCAAGCTGAATAAATGTTTTCCTATAGAAAACCCTATTCAGCCAAGCTGAATAAATGTTTTCCTATAGAAAAACTTATTCAGCCAGTTTAAATAAATGATTTCTTAAATAAACCCAGCCATGCTGATGTAATTCTCTTTGTTTTCGTAGCAAAATCTTATCAGGCCTGTAGTCTGAAGTGGCTACATTTTGCCCCGAACATTCTGTCATTATAACAGCTGCACGTTTTCATCCAAACATCTCAACTTTATGACCATTTCCGAATTGCTATTATCACCATTAGCGTGAAAAGAGATTTGACCATTGTTCACACACAATTCGTGAGTTTTAAAAATTAGTAAAGGCCGAATAAAAATATATTAATAATTTTCACTTTATATTCCAGACAATTTAGAATCGATTATTTATTAACACCCGACTGTTAAGTAATGAATGAAGTGTCCAAAGAAGCAAAAGAAGTGTTTTTTTGGGGGGGCCAAAAGTATTTGATTTGAAAATGAAGTCAAAGAGTCTAATAGTGGCCTGTTTTTATATGAAAACATCTATTCAGCCTGGCTGAATGAGGTTTTCCTTAAGAAAACATCTATTCAGCGTGGCTGAATAAGGTTTTCTATAAGAAAACATCTATTCATCCTGGCTGAATACGGTTTTCTATAGGAAAACATCAATTCAGCCTGGCTGAATACGGTTTTCTATAGGAAAACATAAATTCAGCCTGGCTGAATACGGTTTTCTATAGGAAAACATAAATTCAGCCTGGCTGAATACGGTTTTCTATAGGAAAACATAAATTCAGCCTGGCTGAATACGGTTTTCTATAGGAAAACATAAATTCAGCCTGGCTGAATACGGTTTTCTATAGGAAAACATCAATTCAGCCTGGCTGAATACGGTTTTCTATAGGAAAACATCAATTCAGCCTGGCTGAATACGGTTTTCTATAGGAAAACATCAATTCAGCCTGGCTGAATACGGTTTTCTATAGGAAAACATCAATTCAGCCTGGCTGAATACGGTTTTCTATAGGAAAACATCAATTCAGCCTGGCTGAATACGGTTTTCTATAGGAAAACATCAATTCAGCCTGGCTGAATACGGTTTTCTATAGGAAAACATCTATTCAGCCTGGCTGAATACGGTTTTCTATAGGAAAACATCTATTCAGCCTGGCTGAATACGGTTTTCTATAGGAAAACATCTATTCAGCCTGGCTGAATAAGATTTTCAATAGGAAAACATCTATTCAGCCTGGCTGAATAAGGTTTTCTATAGGAAAACAACTATTCAGCCTGGCTGAATAAGGTTTTCTATAGGAAAACATCTATTCAGCCTGGCTGAATAAGGTTTTCTATAGGAAAACATCTATTCAGCCTGGCTGAATAAGGTTTTCTATAGGAAAACATCTATTCAGCCTGGCTGAATAAGGTTTTCTATAGGAAAACATCTAGTCAGCCTGGCTGAATAAGGTTTTCTATAGGAAAACATCTATTCAGCCTGGCTGAATAAGGGTTTCTATAGCCTGGCTGAATAAGGGTTTCTATAGGCAAACTTCTATTCAGCCCCGCTGAATAAGGTTTTCTATAGGAAAACATCTATTCCATCCGGCTGAATAAGGTTTTATTTAGGAAAACATCTATTCAGCCCGGCTGAATAAGGTTTTCAATTGGAAAACATCTATATAGCCTGGCAGAATAAGGTTTTCTCTAATAAAACATCTATTCAGCCTGGCTGAATAGGGATTTCTATAGGAAATCATCTATTCAGACTGTCTGAATAAGGTATTCTATTGGAGAGCATCTATTAATTCTAACTGAATACGGTTTTCTATAGGAAAACATCTATTCAGCTTTCGAATAGGCCTATTTTCATAATGACCTAATCCATTAAAGCCAACGTGTTAAGTGCTACGAATTAAACAAAACCAACGTTTTGCCTGATTGTTTTGAGAAACTCGGCCCCGATCATCGCACAGACGAGTGTTAAAAACTGTGTTGTTGAACCTGTTCGGAATTAATATTAGTTTAGTTTGTCCAGCTAATATTTGGTTGTTTGTTGTTGGTGTTTTTCCATTGACTAAAAGGCGTGTTGTTGATTAACAGTTGGGTTGTTTTGTTGTTGTAGTTGTTGTCGATGTGGTTTTTGTTGTTGTTGACTTTCTTAGAAAGATTAGATGAAAGAAATGCGTATTATCAAATGTAAATTCAATACACACAAACAAGTTGTATGTAACACACACACACACACGTACAAACGCTTTTATTTACACTCAGAAAAAATGGTAGTACGAAAAGATTTTGTTTTGAAGGTAATGAAATAAAACAAACTGTTCCAGAACTATTGTAATTGTCAGGGGCGTAGAAAAGTGTACCTAGGTAGGGGCACTGCTACTTATATTCTTCATTATCAGAGCTATTAGAGGTCACCCAAATATTGAAATATTTTAGAAGGGCGCGATGCTTTACGAAATTTTAAGAATATTTTTTTCAGATCTATTAAAAATGATAAAGGACACTGAAGTGAGGTTGAGCCTGAATGGGGTGTCTATTTAATTTTTAATTGGATATCAGGTGTTTCTATAATTCGTTTGAGTTATTTTTATTTCGCTCATTAATTTTTCCTTGAGTGAATTTTATAGCGTGTAAACAATGAATCTTGACAGCCATAAGTCATTACGTGTTGAGGCTAGCTTAGTTTATTCTTTACAACATCGTCATCATCGTTATCGGGAGAAAAAGTAAAAGCTGACCTCAGTATATAACATGTGGAAGGTCTTTTATATATACAACGTATTCAACAAGCTGAATAGATCCTGTACAAATAGAAGACCGCCTATAAACTTCCTTAAGATGGAAAATATGTTTTTTTTCCTAATGGAAACCCTATTCAGCCAGATTGGATATGCGTTTTCCTAATGGAAACCTTATTCAGCTAGGCTAAATGTGTGTTTTCCTAATGGAAACCTTATTCAGCTAGGCTGAATGTGTGTTTTCCTTTCCTTTTCCTCTATTCAGCAAGGCTGAATAAGTTTTTTCCTAATGAATACACTATTCAGCCAGGCTGAATATGCTTTATACTAATGGAAACCCTATTCAGACAGGCTGAATTTTAGTTTTCTCAATGGAAACCCTATTCAGCAAGGCTGAATATGAGTTTTCTCAATGGAAATCCTATTCAGCAAGGCTGAATATGAGTTTTCTCAATGGAAACCCTATTCAGCAAGGCTGAAAATGAGTTTTTCTTATGGAAACGCCATTCTGCCAGGCTGAATATGAGTTTTACTAATGAAAATCCTATTCAGCAAGGCTGAATATGAGTTTTACTAATAGAAATCCTATTCAGCAAGGCTGAATATGAGTTTTACTAATAGAAATCCTATTCAGCAAGGCTGAATATAAGTTTTCCTAATGGAAATCATATTCAACAAGGCTGAATATGAGTTTTACTAATAGAAATACTATTCAGCAAGGCTGAATGTGAGGTTTCCTAATGGAAATCCTATTCAGCCAGGCTGAACATTTATTTAGCCTGGCTCAATAGGGTTTTCATTAGCAAAACACATATTCAGCTTGGTAAAATGGAGGTTTCTAATGGCTGAATAGGATAATCATTAGGAAAACACATTTTCTGCCTGTCTGAATAGGGTTATCTATAGGAAAACTTCTATTCAGCCTGTCTGAATAGGGTTTTCTATAGGAAAACAACTATTTAGCCTGGCTGAATAAGGGTTTCTATAGGAAAACATCGATTCAGCCTGGCTGAATAGGGTTTTCTATAGGAAAACACCTACATACCCTGGCTGAATATGGTTTTCTATAGGTAAACATATATTTAGCCTGGCTGAATAGGGTTTTCTATAGGGAAACATCTATTTAGCCTGGCTGAATAGGGTTTTCTTTAGGAAAACATCTATTTAGCCTGGCTGAATAGGGTTCTCATTAGAAAAACACATATTCAGCTTGGCTGAAAAGGGTTTTCTTTGGGAAAACATTTATTCAGCTGAGTTGAACAAGTTTTTCTGGTGGCTGAATAGTGTTTTTTATAGGAAAACTGAAAAGGGTTTTATATGAGAAAAAAATTATTCAGCTGAGCAATGAATAGGGTTTTCAATCAGAGTAGCATTTTTTTTTCAATTTTCCGAATTTTAATTTTTTTCCTTGAGTGTAATACTGATTAAAATCTTTAAATTTTATTATAATAACAACATTTGGTATTAGAAACGGAATTTAGTTTGATAATCAATTTTGTTCACATTGTTGTTGTTGTTGCTGTTCTTGGTTACATTTTACTGCAGAGGGCTGGCGATTTCATGGTTGTTGTGTGTTTGTTGTTTTTATTTTTGTAATTTTGTGTTGATCTCCCAACAAAATTTCGAAGCATTTTTCCCACCCGGTTGCATTATCAACAATTTCACCCAGCTTTACAATTCAGTAGCTGGTCTATTGCCTTTCACTAAAAAAGCCGCTGGAAATTTTCCTCATAAAACGGGTCGGAAAAATAATGAATTTCTAAAAAAAAAAAATTTTTAAAATCCCCCAAAACTCCAAACTGTGACAATTAATTCCTAAAAAACTTGAAAACAAAAAAGGAATAATTTAAAAAATGTCGCGTGACTTAATTTGAGGCTCAGAAGAGGGGGTCTGTAAAACGAAACGAACGAAAGGAGAAAAAGAGCGGGAGAGTTGACAAACAACACGTCGTCGTTTGTCGTTGTCGACCATTATCAGAACATGAATAATTTAGTGAATTTTGATAATACAAGTCGAAAATATAATCGTTATTATGCGACAGCAGCACCTCCTCCGCCGCCACCGTCACTGCTGCCACCTACCCATGGCCTGTGTTACAGTAAGTCGTGTCAATTGGTGTTTGTTGTTGTGTTTATTTGTTTTTGTCTGAGCATTTTGTTTTTGGAGAGATTTTGAATGAAATCCGTCTGTTTGAAAGAAAGACATTAAAACCGGAACGTGATTAAACCTCCCGGAGCATTTAAACCCACCAATATCAGTAATAGCGGCAGCAACAGCAGTAATTGTCGGCGCAGCATCATCGCCGTCGGCGATAAAAAAATCATAAAACAATATTCATTTAAATAACAACAACTACAACAACGACCACAGTATCAACAACAACAGAAACAAAGAATTAAACAAAAACAACTTTCAAATTTAGGTCATGCTGCTAAAATAAGTTTTTGTTTGAATCGAATATGAGCGGCCAGTTTGTTGGTTTGTTTGACGGATCCGTCGGGTATGGTCTCTGAAGACGACGTCGTTTTAATTTTAGAAATTAACAAATTTATCTGCAGAAACCTTACAATTTTTTTTTTTTTGCAAAAACAAAGAAGAGGGCGGATTTGTTGTTTGGGCTCAAAGGTCGAACAAGTTTAATAGGTGTCTGTCAGAATTACCGAAAAATATATAACATCGGCCTATGAGACTTGGGTTTTCTATAGGAAAACATCTATTTAGCCGGGCTGAATAGGGGTTTCTATAGGAAAACATCTATTCAGCCTGGCTGAATAGGGTTTTCTTTAGGAAAACATCTATTCAGCCTGGCTGAATAGGGTTTTCTATAGGAAAACATCTATTCAGCCTGGCTGAATAGGGTTTTCTATAGGAAAACATCTATTCAGCCTGGCTGAATAGGGTTTTCTATAGGAAAACATCTATTCAGCCTGGCTGAATACGGTTTTCTATAGGAAAACCTCTATTCAACCTGGCTGAATAGGGTTTTCCATAGGAAAACTTCTATTCAGCCTGGCAGAATAGGTTTTTCTATAGGAAAACTTATATTTAGCCTGGCTGAATAGGGTTTTCTATAGGAAAACATCTATTCAGCTGGGCTGAATAGGGTTTTCTATAGGAAAACATCTATTCAGCTGGGCTTAATATGGTTTTCTATAGGAAAACATCTATTCAGCTGGGCTGAATAGGGTTTTCTATAGGAAAACATCTATTCAGCTGGGCTTAATATGGTTTTCTATAGGAAAACATCTATTCAGCTGGGCTGAATAGGGGTTTCTATAGGAAAACATCTATTCAGCCGGTCTGAATAGGGTTTTCTATAGGAAAACAACTATTCAGCCGGGCTGAAGAGGGTTTTCTATAGGAAAACATCTATTCAGCCGGGCTGAATAGGGGTTTCTCTAGGAAAACTACTATTCAGCCGGGCTGAATAGGGTTTTCTATAGGAAAACTACTATTCAGCCGGGCTGAATAGGGTTTTCTATAGGAAAACATCTATTCAGCCGGGCTGAATAGGGTTTTCTATAGGAAAACATCTATTCAGCCGGGCTGAATAGGGTTTTCTATAGGAAAACATCTATTCAGCCGGGCTGAATAGGGTTTTCTATGGGAAAACATCTATTTAGCCTGGCTGAATAGGGTTTTCTATGGGAAAACATCTATTTAGCCTGGCTGAATAGGGTTTTCTATAGGAAAACATCTATTCAGCCTGGCTGAATAGGGTTTTCTATAGGAAAACATCTATTCAGCCTAACTGAATAGGGGTTTCTTTAGCAAAACATCTATTCAGCCTGGCTGAATAGGGTTTTCTTTAGCAAAACATCTATTCAGCCTGGCTGAATAGGGGTTTCTTTAGCAAAACATCTATTCATCCTGGCTGAATAGGGTTTTCTATAGCATAACATCAACTCATCACGGATGAATAGGGTTTTCTAGGGTTTTCCTGTATTCTTGTTTTTGGGTATATTGTTCTCTATTTATCCCATCTTCGAACCATTTTACCTCCAGAAAAAGACTTATAAAAACTATTTCCATCTAAAAAAAACTCTCTAATCTTATCGATTTTATTTGGACATTAATATCTGATACGAAAATGAAAACAAAATTCTTTGAAAACAAGATTGCCATTCCAAAACTATATATAAGTTTATCGATGTCGGTAGGGTTCATCACTATTTTTGCCAAACTTATCTTCTCTCGCTCGCTCACCCTTGAGAACGAAGAAGCAGATTGTACATTGCTTACGTGTGGGGTACTTTGGAATAATAACAGGTGTTCCGCATGCCAAACAAAATCATGATGATTTACACAATCGCTAAGAACCACTCCGCATATCTTGCTTTCGGCTACGTCAGATCGTCTGACTTTTTATTATTTTTATTATTTATATATTTATAAATAGTTATATTATTGTTTTATTTTTTATTGTAGTTTAATTAATATTTAACTGTTTACTAAGTCAATCGAAGTTTCGGTTGCCAAAGTAGGCAGACAGATAGCCAGAATTTATAGCAACGAAGTACTAACGTCATTAATAGCCGAAAAAATGGAAAGGAAAACAAAAAATTTTTTTAAAAATTTTCTAGGTGCACCGTTGACGTCAATATTCGGTTGATATATGTATGTGTGTATGTACGAAGTGGAACAAAAAAAAAACAGCGTGTTATTGATCCTCGAAAATATACATTTATATGGAGATTGATATGGCCAAAAACATAAATAAAAGGTCATGGTCGATAAGGGCCCATCATTTTGTTGTGCCTTTATTAGATATTTTGAAGACTTTGACCTTATTTTACCACCGATCTGGCAGTTTTAGCTCTTGGTCTCATACAAGACCTGAGGTCTCATAAAAGGTCTGAGATTTCATATAAGACCTGAGGTCTCATATAAGACCTGAGGTCTCATATAAGACCTGAGGTCTCATATAAGACCTGAGGTCTCATATAAGACCTGAGGTCTCATACAGGACCTGAGGTCTCATATAAGACCTGAGGTCTCATATAAGACCTGAGGTCTCATATAAGACCTGAGGTCTCATATAAGACCTGAGGTCTCATATAAGACCTGATGTCTCATATAAGACCTGAGGTCTCATAGAAGACCTGAGGTATCATAAAAGACCTGAGGTCTAATATTAGACCTGAGGTCTCATAAAAGGTCTGAGATTTCATATAAGACCTGAGGTCTCATATAAGACCTGAGGTCTCATATAAGACCTGAGGTCTCATATAAGACCTGAGGTCTCATATAAGACCTGAGGTCTCATATAAGACCTGAGGTCTCATATAAGACCTGAGGTCTCATATAAGACCTGAGGTCTCATATAAGACCTGAGTTCTCATATAAGACCTGAGGTCTCATATAAGACCTGAGGTCTCATATAACACCTGAGGTCTCATATAAGACCTGAGGTCTCATATAAGACCTGAGGTCTCATATAAGACCTGAGGTCTCAGATAAGGCTTGAGGTCTCATATAAGACCTGAGTTCTCATGTAAGACCTGAGGTCACATATAAGACCTGAGGTCTCAGATAAGACTTGAGGTCTCATATAAGACTTGAGGTCTCATATAAGATCTGAGGTCTCATATAAGACATGTGGTCTTCTATAAAACCTGAGATTTTCTATAAGACATTTCAGTCCTGTTGTTCTACTTTTTTAACATCACATCCTTCCCTTTTGACCTATTTTTTCATTCCGTTCTTTTTGTCTTTCTCTCTTTTCCAGGTCGCGGCAATTGGGCCGATGATATTGGATTCGATTTAAATGCTGAATTTAATAGCAATTCATATTTGAACAAGTAAGTCTTATTAAATAAAAACAACAACAAAAAATATTGAAAATCTCTTCCCACAACCAGAAAATACTGAATTTTCCATATTTTCATTTTCATTTTTGTTTTGTTTTTTTCTTTTTTGCCTTTTCCCCACTTCCTAGTGAGACATTTATGTCGTTCTCTTCGGGTCTGCAGCCCGTACTTAAGCAAGAACCACAATCTGAACAATTGAAGATTAATAACAACAACAACAGCAGCAACAACAACAATAATCCGAAGAGTTCGTTGCACATTCCATCAAGTCCGATTAACAGTGTAAATATACAACAAAAACATGATAAGCAATCGGCAACGTCAAACAGTGGCAGCAACAACAATGGACTCCTTGACACAACACCAACATCCGCAACCAATGCTGGTGCTGCTGGCGGTGCAGGGACCACAGCAGCGGCTTCTTCGGCCGCTACTGAAAAGCCCAAGACCAATGGCAACCACAATATCGATTTGATTGATAATCATTGTGGCTGTGGTTCACCGCAAGGAGGTAACGCCGCTCAACAGCAACAGCAGCAGCCGCAAGTTGTAGACCAGCAACAGCAGACATCTGCATCGTCATCGACAGCCATCAAGGGTAATAATGAACAAGGTGAGTGCACTTGTTTGTAAAAATTAATAAAAACCGATAACAACAATAACAACAACGAGGAAAGTTATAATTGTTCGATGATGAGTGATTTGCTGAAATTCATTCGATAATAATTTCCGAAATTGAAACAATGCAAATCGAAGCGACACGTGTTATTCCATTTTAATAAAAAAAATGTTGGGGTCACATTTTATGTTTAATTCAGAATTTGTGATTTTTTTTTTTAATTTGGAATAGCACTTGTTAATTTTTTGAACCAAAAAAAAAAATGAATAAATATATAAAAACTTTATAAAGATTTCGTTCGTTCCGAATATTTCGATGAAAATATTTTGTATCCTCCGATTATGACAAGATTTTGGGGAGTGGAAATTTTCTATTGGCGATGAAAGCCCTTGCTATGTATATGAAAACCTCAGAAGGGAAAATTCACCATAGGTCATAGTATGGAGATATGGCGCGATATTTTTTTGCTGGCAACCCTATTAGACTTGAAGAGGCAGCTTAATAACTTCATTTGTAGCTTTTGTATATATTTTTGATATTACATTTTTCCAGTAAAATCGAATGAGGACTGTTTTTTGAAGAACATTTCGTCCTTCTAACTCGATTCCTTGTATGTCCTGTTCGTCCTTAATTTATTGAAACGGACTTCAATTATCTCAAGATGTGATTTTTCATCTACGCAATATTCTTCAAAAAAGTTGCTCAAAAGATTTTATCGGCGTCTTCAAAGACAAGAAATCGATATTTTAACGTTTTAATAGTCCATTCTCAATTTTACCCGGTTCTTGTCACTAAAATCCTATATGTATTTGAATAAATTTAATATACATTCCATATGTTATGTTAAACTGTCCGATTCGTGCGAATTATTTTCTAGAAACTTCGTGGCAAAAAGAACCGGTTTTCTAAAATTTTTTAACCAGATATTCAGATAATAAAACCGATAATAGTCCGGTTCCGGATTTATTATATAAATATCCGGTTAAAAAATTTAGAAACCCGGATCTTTTTTCCACGAAATTAGTCCGTTTCAATAAATTTAGCGCGTTTGTGTACTAGTTTTCTAATTATATGCATTTGAGGTATTGAAACCGGTTTTATTATCGGAATATCCGGTTCAAAAATTTAGAAACCCGGATCTTTTTTCCACGAAATTAGTCCGTTTCAATAAATTTAGCATGTTTGTGTACTAGTTTTCTAATGATATGTACATAAGGTATTGAAACCGGTTTTATTATTTGAATATGCGGTTCAAAATTTTAGAAAACCGGTTCTTTTTTCCACGAAATTTGCCGGTTTTAATAAATTTAGTACGTTTGTGTACTAGCTTTCCAATGATATGAACATAATGTATTAAAACCGGTTTTATTATCTGAATAACCGGTTAAAAAATTAACAAGCCCAATACTCTGTTCCACGAAATTAATCCGTTTCAATAAATTTAACATTTAAGCTATTGAAACCGGGTTTATTATATAAATATCCGGTTCAAAAAATTTTTTGTGTACTAGTTTTCTAATTATATGCATTTGAGGTATTGAAACCGGTTTTATTATCTAAATATCGGGTTCAAAAATTTAGAAACCCGGATCTTTTTTCCATGAAATTAGTCCGTTTCAATAAATTTAGCACGTTTGTGTACTAGTTTTTAATGATATGGTCATAAGGTATTGAAACCGGTTTTATTATCTGAATATCCGATTCAAACTAGTTTTTAATGATATGGTCATAAGGTATTGAAACCGGTTTTATTATCTGAATTATGCGGTTTAAAATTTTTAGAAACCCGGTTCTTTTTTTGCACGAAATTAGTCCGTTTCAATAAACTCAGCGCGTTTGTGTACAAGTTTTCTAATTATATGTATTTTAGGTATTGAAACCGGTTTTATTATCGGAATATCCGGTTCAAAAATTTAGAAACCCGGTTCTTTTTTCCACGAAATTAGTCCGTTTCAATAAATTTAGCACGTTCGTGTACTAGTTTTCTAATGATATGCACATAGGGTATTGAAACCGGTTTTATTATTTGAATATCCGGTTCAAAATTTTAGAAAACCGGTTCTTTTTCACGAAATTTATTTATTTTTTTGACGTATTTCGCATAACTATGTATGTTTAGACGAACCCGACAATTCAACATAAGGAATGTATATGAAGCGAATTGGAGTATCCGAATCCAATAGAAATTATATTTCCCAATTTCTCTGGATCACTTCACCCAAATATAATTGTACCAAATCTAGTACCATTTAGGATATATCAGTACGAACTTCCAACATTCTAAATACCCAATTCTACAACCGAACAGTACTTTCAATTCTAAATGTCAAGATACCAACTCTATCGCTTATTCCTCTATAGTTGGCACATATCGTCATGTCTCCATTTTTGTGCACGGGACACATTATGCTGAGGTTCCAATCATTGGGCATACATTCCTGTAGTCAGGTTACATCTAATCAGGTACATGCTCCTGACCAGCACCTGCTGCTTTATTATTCTTCAGCCGATTGGTGGATATTCTGAACTCATCTTGGCTAGGTGGTATACACTCTATAATGGTATCTCTGATTGGTTCTGGGATATCTTCTTCGGCGCCACTATTTGATGCCATAAGCTTTGAAAAGTGTTTTTATTAATTTTTATTAACCCATTGCAATTAAATTTTATATTTTTGTTTTGTTTTTTTTTTTTTATTTTTTATTTCAGGTCGTCAACTTCTAACTGTGGTTGATGCCAGTAAAATCGAACAAAATCCCGTGGGTAAATCGGCCACACCCAGCGGAACTACAACAGCAGCTGCTGCCAATTCCGATGATTATAAGTAAGGAAAAAAATATCTATAACAACAATCATTTCAATACCAAAACTAACAAAAATATCACTCCTTGTTTTTTTTATTTTTCTTGTTCCAGATTCCAATATATTTTGGCTGCAGCCACATCCATTGCCACGAAAAACAATGAAGACACTCTCACCTATTTAAATCAGGGTCAAAGTTATGAGATCAAATTGAAGAAGATCGGTGATCTATCGATGTATCGTGATAAAATACTGAAGGTATGTAGCTATTAAGGGGACCCCCCATTCTCGGGGTCAAAATTTTTGTTGATATAATTCGAATGTACACTGATTAAAGAATGTCTCTACAAAATTTCAAGTGAAAATCTCAAGAACTCTTGAAGATATATCCGATTTATTGTGTCAGCATCAAGTGACGGCTGAAGGGCTTCTCAAACTTTAAACGCGTTTTTCTCTAAACATTTTTTTGCGAATGGCGGGCACGATAACTCATAAACTAATAATCCAATCGGCTCCAAATTTTGCAACGTTTCTCTGGGAGTGTATAGCTCTCGTATGAACTACGATAAAGCCAATCAGTGAAGATCTTCCTTATTTTAAACTTGGTTTTTGGTAAAAAATCGGCGATTTTCCAAAAATATTTTTTCAAAGGTCCACCATTTTGTTAATTTTAGAGCAAAGTCAATAATCCTAGTTCATACGAGAGCCAGACATTTACTCTTTCTAACACCGTTGGAATTTTCGGATTCCGATATTCCAGTGAGGAGTTATCATGCCCGCCATCAAAAATAAGGACTTTTCTTTAATTACAAAAAACAACAACAAAACAATAACAAAATTTTTTTGTAAATTATTTTTCTTCTCTTTTAAATCTTCAAATATGTATGTGCAAAGTTACAAACCTTAACAAGCATTGGTATTGATTTACCAGCCCATTGAAAATCTTGAAAAATTAAAATCGAGAATGGGTGGGGTTCCCTTAATACAAAAAAAAAAGGAATCCGAAAATTTGAATTGGTGTATAAAACAAATCAAGTTACTGAAAAAAACTTTTGGGGAGAATATCCCTAACGAAAAACTTAGGGAACTGATGAGAATTAGAGGCGAGATCCTTGTTGAGCCATACCATATTTCCTTACTTACTTAGCTGGCTTGTGACATAACATTTGTTCCATAAGTTGAATTTAAAAAAATCCAGGCGCGTCGGTCTTCTGCGCATCTCTTCCAATTTGAAATACCATGTTCCGAAATGTTGTCTTCCACTTGATTTTTCTTGAGCCCAGAAGGGGATGGCCACGAATTTGATGGCTCGCTTTTTTATGCCTTTTGTGCTGGGGCATCCTCATCCATTCTCACCACTTGACCTAGCCAACATAGACGCTGCAGCGTATCGAGCTGACAATGCCAATGTCCGAGAATATATCGTACAACTCATGGTTCATACAATGGCGATATTTCGAAGAATTTTGCTCTCAAACACTCCAACAGCTGCCATATCTACAATATTTCCACTATCTATAAATCGCTGTTAAAAACAACAACAAACTGGGGCTAAACCTGTCTTAAAAAAAAACCCCTAAAAATAAAATCAAAACTCTCAATAATTTGCTACACCCTTGTCATTACGAATTGTCGTCGGGATACTAATAAAATATTGCAAGGATCTACTAATTTTTATTATTTTTTCGATATCATAAAGGGAAAAGCTGTTATCGTTGTAAGAAATAGTAGATTCTTGCAGTACGGGAACATACCATTATTTGTATTGCTAAGGAAACCTTGGCTGGGATCGGTCCGTTGAAAACGTTTAATCATACGATGGCAGTTCGGAAAGTTCTTAGCCCAGCACAAAAAAGCGCGGTGTAAACAGAAAAAAAGTTAATTGTTATGAAAAATTATTTCTCAGTTGTGAACACATGTACAATTTTGTTTCGATCTGGCAACTCTTTCATATAGAAATAGGCGTTCAAAAAAGACACATCCGCAATTTTTTTTTTACAATGAAAGCACGAATTTCTAATTTTTCCATTGCAAAAAATTGCGGATGCGTCTTTTTTGAACACCTGTTCCTATATGATGGAGTTGCCAGATCAAAACAAAATTTAACATGTGTTCATAACAGAGATGGAAGTTTCCAAAACACTTAACTTTTTATACCCTCCACCATAGTATGAAGGGTATATTAATTTTGTCATTCCGTTTGTAACTCACCGAAATATTCATTTCCGACCCTATAAAGTATATATATTCTTGATCAGGGTAAAATTCTAAGACGATCTAGCCATGTCCGTCCGTTTGTCCGTCCGTCTGTTGTAATCACGCTATCTTCTGAAGGAATTGAGATAGGGTGCTGAAATTTTGCATAGGGTTGTCTTTTGCCTGCAGGCAGGTCAAGTTCGAAGATGGGATATATCGGTCCACGTTTAGGCATAGCTCCCATATAAGGGTACCCCCCAATTTTCGGTATTTTGGGGTTCTTGACCGAGTTTTTCAACTGAATTCGCAGAAATTTGATACGTTGGGTTCTTATTGGGTACTAAGTGTCTCCACAAAAAATTATGAGTATAGGTCCACTTTTTCTGGTAGCCCCCATATAACGGCACCTTCTAATTCTCAGTATTTTGGGGGGTTTTATCGTATTTTTCCACCGAATAGGCTGTAATTTAGTATTTTGAGTTCTTAATAGGTACCAAATTTCTCCACAAAAAATTATGAATATAGGTCCATTTTTTCGGGTAGCCCCCCATATAAGGGTACCCCCAAATTTCGGTATTTTGGGGTTCTTGAGCGCGTTTTTCAACCGAATTCGCTGAAATTTGGTATATTGGGTACTTATTGGGTACCAAATATCTCCACTAAAAATTATAAATATAAGTCCATTTTTTCTGTTAGCCCCCATATAAAGGTACCCCCAAATTTCGGCATTTGGAGGTTCTTGAGCGCGTTTTTCAACCGAAATCACTGAAATTTGGTATTTTGTAGCCGTATATGGAAACAAACCTACCAAAAATTATTAATAGTCAACCCCTTTTAGGCGTAGTCCCCATATAACCCCATTTTTTATATTAATATAATTATCTGATTTTTCCGCGTTTTGGGTTTGGTTCTAACACTCTGTTGTAATCATTTCACCTGCGAAGGATATCGAGATAAAAAACTAGAACGTACGGTTCGATAATGAACTATATATGAACTATAACCCGTATTTAGACCTAGCCCCTGTGTGGGAGGTACCATAAGGAGTGGACCGATGTTCCCCATCTTCGAACTTGAACTAAGTTTGGAAGATGGCCAAAGTTTGGATGAAATCGAAATTTTCTGAAACAAATTTGATCCAAAGAAACATGGATCTAGAACCATTTTAACCGTGTCAAAATGTATATGCCTCATTATGCATAAAGCTGAGAGAATTGTCCATTAAAAATTTCTGAAATTTGTTTTTTAGTTTACATTGTGGTTTATATAACCGGTTTGTGGAAATGTCGATATAGGTCCACTTTTTGGTATTTTCCCTATATTTTTATTTCAAGTACCTGTCAGTATATCTATGGTGGAGGGTATCCAAAGTTCGGCCCGGCCGAACTTAACGCTTTTTCACTTGTTTCAGTTTATACCGCGCTTTTTGTGCTAGGCTAAGAACTTTCCGAACTGCCATCGAATAATTAAAAGTTTTCATTGGATCGATCCCTGCCTAGGTTTGTGCTAGGCTAAGAACTTTCCGAACTGCCATCGTATGATTAAAGGTTTTCATCCGGCCGATCCCAAAACACTTAACTTTTTTCTGTTTATACCGCGATTTTTGTGCTAGGCTAAGAACTTTCCGGACTGCCATCGTATTTTGCCGCAATGAAATTTTTTTTGAAAATCCATCACCATTCCTGTCGGCGTCATTTTTTCTGCCAGTCTATCATTCCCTGTCGGACTAGTAACTGTGCCAAAACAACTACTTCTATTGATCGACATTCGTCATTCGCCATTATTAGTATGTCTATGTGAGATGTTTTGTTGTTGTTGTTGTTGTGTGAACATTAGTTAAATGTTAATAAATAAACTATTACTTGTGGTTTGTTCATTCGTTTTCTTACCATACATTTGGCTGTCAGTTTTGACTTGACTTGTTGTTGTTGTTGTTGTTTTCTATATTTCTTTTAACATCTCAAGCCAATTGTCTTAATTGGTTTTAATGTATTTTAATTAGAAACAATTGCCTGTCTTGACACAAACAAACAACAACGGCAATAGTGACAAACATAAGAATTGCCAAGCCAGTATTTAAAAAAAATATAAATGAAAACGTCATAGAAACGGAGATCAGAAAAATGTAAATGGCAAAAAATACTATATTTAATAAAAATATATTGCAATGGCAAAAATATACACGCAAAGAAACTGTGTTTTAGGAAAATTGCATATTTTTTGGTGAGAAGTGGAACAAGTTTGAAATCGATAAGATGAGAGATTTTTTTTTTCAAAATTCGATTTTAAATTTTAAAATGACATTCTTGATTTATGGTATATTCGAATAAGATTTTAACAAGTAAAAAAGGAGTTAATTTCGGAAGGGGTAAACTTTTTATAACCTCACCATAGGTATTCTGACATGATCATAATATAGGAAATACACCAAATTGTTGACCTATACATATAATTTTTCCAAAACGGCTTAAAGCACTGATAGAAAACAAAGGTCGAGCTACATAGTACTAAATAATATTAAAATATATTTTTACTAGCATATACCCGCTACTTCGTTAGCGAATGTGGGATGTATTTAAAACCATATATCGACCATTTTTTAAAATTTTAGAACCATTTAGTACGAATGTTCTGTCATAGTATGTTCTCAAATCTACCTCTGTATCTCAAGCCTACACACCCATTCCGACCGCAAAGAAATTTACCTCTATACTAAATTTGGTGTAATTTTTTACCATTTTTACTCTTGTAATACTTATTTTGAAAAAAAAAAATCATATTTGGCTTCACCCAAATCAGTTAGTGCCCATTAATATAAATTTCCATAACTACCTACTTTAGCAATCATAAGTACGAATTTCCAACACTTCCCACATACCCTAATCTTAATTCCAAATTTCAGGATTCTATCGGTTCACCTAAATCCAATTTGTATCACATTTAGTACCACTCAGAACACATAAGTAAAAATTTCCATTGCTACCTAAATCATGTCATCCAATTGAAATCATGAATAAGATGAAATCTTAATTATAATGGAGATAGTATCAAATTTAGTACAC